GGGGGGGGGCACAGATGATGTCACTCTGTATACAGCCTGGGTGTAAGATTGGGGTTATTGTTAGTTTATAGACTTTGGTGGAGAGGACAAATTCTCTTTAACATGCAGTGTAACCAATAAAACTCACCACACATGTACAATCTCCTATAAATCTATCAACAACTATGTAATCCAATGCCCCGCCTGATTGGATACATATTATTGGATATTTCATATAGACTCATAATACCAAGTTTGGGTAAATCTAAAGTTAAGTGTTTGAATACTGTCTGGTCCAATTGTAACGTGTGTGTTGAGTTTTATACTGTAGACCAGGGGTGGCCAAACTCCGGCCCTCCAGCTGGGCTGAAACTACAAATCCCATGATGCATCTCGCTCTGAGAGTCAGGTCTGTGGCTGTGAGAATCTTGCAATGCCTCTTGGGATTTGGAGTTCCACCCCAGCTGGAGGGCCGGAGTTTGGCCACCCCTGCTGGAGACTATGAATCCTGCATACACCTATGGCACCAGGTTCATACTGTCACCCTTCCTGTACATTGTATCTATCTGTATCCTACCAATGTGTCCCTTTCATGTGTGACAGACCTTACCCCACAGACTGGTGCACATGCATTAGAAAGAGATGAAGAGAGAGAGAAGGAGAGAGAGAGAGAAGACATGGAACCGTACAGGGGGGGAAGTAGCTCCAGGATGCCGGCCTCATTCCATGCGCAGGGGAGACTGGAGGGAACAGATCACAACAAAGGATTAAAAAGCAAAACAAGCAAAGCAGAACTTTCATCTTTCCTATAGCGGCGGCTGTCAGAGGCCGACACTTACATTATCGGTCAGTGTTACCGTACACATCTAGAGCCAATATACCGGTGACTAGACCACAAGTGACACTCATGCGGAGAGCAATGATACACGGGGCACAGTTGGTGGAGATAAGCCAAACACACACACAGCTCATGGAGGGACCAACATGACATAAACGGCTGTAACACAATCTGCTCCATGGCCTCTGTTAGTAGGACACACAAAGACAATCCGAGGTATCTTGTGAATAACAAAGACGAGTTCAGTGACTGATAAGCAGGCAGCAGTTAGCAGAAGCTACAGGTCCCCATACAGGACAAACCTACCCCCCCTCCCCCTCCCCGCCATGCTTCTCTTAGAAGAGTTAAATTGGCAAAACAAAAGAAACAATGACGAGGCTCCTAAAATCTGATTCAATATACAATCTCCCGGTGCTGCCAAATGTTTTACCGTACACCATACTCGCCAGCATGTGTCTAATAATGGGGAAAGACTCCAATATCCAAGTATTGAAGCTCCGAGAACTCAGAATAGAACCTTCCTCAGGCCCATGACGACCACAAAAACATCTGATTCCTTGTCTGTCACCTTCCTCACTGCCCCAGGATCTACGTAAAACAGCAGACCGCCCAACGCTGGCCACATGTTGTATCTGATTGGTACCAACCGATCAGATCTTTCATTGAGGGGGATATTCACAAAGCTGCCGGATTCAACCAAGCGAATAACCGAGCCGAAGTGAAGTGAGCCGAACGCTGTTCCTCTATTCACTTCTGACTTGTACGGCTAAAATGAGCCTCAGGCCCGGTCCAAAGAAGCTCCTGTACTTCTTTGGGCGTAGGGCGTTTTGTAGCGCGTTCCTACGCTCTGCAAAACGCTCAAACACCGAAATCCCATTATCTCCTATGGGCATGGGTCACACCTGGGCGTATTACAGGCCGTATGAACGCGCTACAAAACGCCCTACGCCCTAAGAAGTACAGGAGCTTCTTTGGGGCGTATTTGCCGCGCGTATCCATTGGGATACAGCCAGGAAACCCTCGGAAACGCGCGCTTGTCGCGTGTTTTTTTTACCTCGAATCGCTGTAAAAACGCACGGCAGGAAACGCGCGACAAACGCGCATATTCGATACGCCTAGGTGTGAACCCAGCCTTACAGTGTCTGCGCCGAAGTGCAGAAGGGGTTTGACTCAGCCGATCCAACATGTGGCCCCGGAAGCTCACTCACTGCCGTTCTATTCTCATATATTCTCATAGGGGCCGAACGGCAGTGAGTGATAGCCGAATGTCGCCAAGCGGCATTTAGCTCGGCTATTCTGCTCGCTACCTCCGAGGTAGCGAGCAGAATAGAAAAAATTTTAATAAATGAAGAAAAAAGTTTAGAAAGTATTTAACATTTTTTTTTTTTAATACGAAAATGTTAAAAAAGTTGAGAAAATACTAAAAATATTTTAAAGAAAAAGGCAAAAAAATAATTAAAAAAAACAAAAAACGACGCAGGCGACTAACTCCCGTCGCATAATGTCAAATCTGACTGATGGCGGCAAAATATAAACAAGTGGTGACATCACCGCTAGCTCCGCCCAACTTTTTCCTATTGGCGGGCCAAAGACAAACGGCAATAAATAGCAAGTGGGCGGAGCCAGCCATGATGTCACGGACAGCTCCGCCCAGTTGTCATTGTTTCATGACAGATCAGCGTCCCCAAGTCATTTGGGAATGCTGATCTGTCATTACAACTGGGCGGAGCGAGCCGTGAGATCACAGCATGCTCCGCCCAGCTGTCATTTGCGTGGAGGTCGGTCGGCTTCGGCTGACCTTTCTCCGCGCTTCACCTGTCACTACGGCTCAGCCGAGAAGAAGCATACGGGTTCGGCTCGGGTGCTGCACAGGTTATTGTGAATAGCCCGTAGATCAGACCTTCGGTTCCACTGAACATAAGGGCCCCGGTGGCCGAAGCCCATAATAACCCTTTAAGTCTTCTATCACCTGACAATGTGCAGAGCGCATCATGTGACCTTCCGATAAGAGAACCCTGCGCTCCTGCATCATCTCTATCCATCTCCGCATTACCAATACAGGAGGACGGAAAAGAGGAAGAATTCAGACATGCCAGTTGGATCAGAGGAACTCCATGTTGAGGATCTGTATCTGCTGGTGTATGGGCCTCATTGTTCCTGAAAACTCCTGAATGGGAAGATGAAGGTGTTGGCGGGAGGAGCCAAATGCATCCCAGGTGTCATTTCCTGCAGGAGACTATAGAGGAAAACATGACATCTGATGTGGCAGCGCAGTGTTCTTCCCCTTCTGCTTTATATATTCTGTTTATAAATGATCCCTACATTGGACTGAACCAACCATGTGACTTGCGGATGTGACCGTGTGCTATATGATACAAGCTCTGTAGGATTCTCTTTGCAGGAATATCGGGGAACTTGGAGCTTCGTCAGGTATTCGGGAGAAATAAACCATTTTTTGTAATTCTATTTATAAATGGAGAGAGTGGACGAGTGCTGGAGGCTCTCGTTGCCATTCCCTCCTGGTCAGCTGGTTTACCATTTCATTCTGACCCCAACAAACTAGACCGGAGAAGGTTATTCATCCACCATCTCCACGGACGTGCACTGCCTGCCAGACATCAGCCTGGACTAGAAAACGTTGCCCGTCCACTGTCTCCACAGAACTGCACTGCCAATCAACCATAAGCCCGGACTAGAGAATATCCATTCACCATCTCCTTCACCGGCCTGCACTGCCTACCCTCCACCAGCCTGAACTAGAGACCATTGCCTATCCACCATCTGCGCCTATCCACCATCTGCACTGCCTACCCTCCACCAGCCTGAACTAGAGACCATTGCCTATCCACCATCTGCGCCTATCCACCATCTGCACTGCCTACCCTCCACCAGCCTGAACTAGAGACCATTGCCTATCCACCATCTGCGCCTATCCACCATCTGCACTGCCTACCCTCCACCAGCCTGAACTAGAGACCATTGCCTATCCACCATCTGCGCCTATCCACCATCTGCACTGCCTACCCTCCACCAGCCTGAACTAGAGACCATTGCCTATCCACCATCTGCGCCTATCCACCATCTGCACTGCCTACCCTCCACCAGCCTGAACTAGAGACCATTGCCTATCCACCATCTGCGCCTATCCACCATCTGCACTGCCTACCCTCCACCAGCCTGAACTAGAGACCATTGCCTATCCACCATCTGCGCCTATCCACCATCTGCACTGCCTACCCTCCACCAGCCTGAACTAGAGACCATTGCCTATCCACCATCTGCGCCTATCCACCATCTGCACTGCCTACCCTCCACCAGCCTGAACTAGAGACCATTGCCTATCCACCATCTGCGCCTATCCACCATCTGCACTGCCTACCCTCCACCAGCCTGAACTAGAGACCATTGCCTATCCACCATCTGCGCCTATCCACCATCTGCACTGCCTACCCTCCACCAGCCTGAACTAGAGACCATTGCCTATCCACCATCTGCGCCTATCCACCATCTGCACTGCCTACCCTCCACCAGCCTGAACTAGAGACCATTGCCTATCCACCATCTGCGCCTATCCACCATCTGCACTGCCTACCCTCCACCAGCCTGAACTAGAGACCATTGCCTATCCACCATCTGCGCCTATCCACCATCTGCACTGCCTACCCTCCACCAGCCTGAACTAGAGACCATTGCCTATCCACCATCTGCGCCTATCCACCATCTGCACTGCCTACCCTCCACCAGCCTGAACTAGAGACCATTGCCTATCCACCATCTGCGCCTATCCACCATCTGCACTGCCTACCCTCCACCAGCCTGAACTAGAGACCATTGCCTATCCACCATCTGCGCCTATCCACCATCTGCACTGCCTACCCTCCACCAGCCTGAACTAGAGACCATTGCCTATCCACCATCTGCGCCTATCCACCATCTGCACTGCCTACCCTCCACCAGCCTGAACTAGAGACCATTGCCTATCCACCATCTGCGCCTATCCACCATCTGCACTGCCTACCCTCCACCAGCCTGAACTAGAGACCATTGCCTATCCACCATCTGCGCCTATCCACCATCTGCACTGCCTACCCTCCACCAGCCTGAACTAGAGACCATTGCCTATCCACCATCTGCGCCTATCCACCATCTGCACTGCCTACCCTCCACCAGCCTGAACTAGAGACCATTGCCTATCCACCATCTGCGCCTATCCACCATCTGCACTGCCTACCCTCCACCAGCCTGAACTAGAGACCATTGCCTATCCACCATCTGCGCCTATCCACCATCTGCACTGCCTACCCTCCACCAGCCTGAACTAGAGACCATTGCCTATCCACCATCTGCGCCTATCCACCATCTGCACTGCCTACCCTCCACCAGCCTGAACTAGAGACCATTGCCTATCCACCATCTGCGCCTATCCACCATCTGCACTGCCTACCCTCCACCAGCCTGAACTAGAGACCATTGCCTATCCACCATCTGCGCCTATCCACCATCTGCACTGCCTACCCTCCACCAGCCTGAACTAGAGACCATTGCCTATCCACCATCTGCGCCTATCCACCATCTGCACTGCCTACCCTCCACCAGCCTGAACTAGAGACCATTGCCTATCCACCATCTGCACTACCTACCAACCATCAACCTGAACTAGAGACCATTGCCCATACACCATCTGCACTACTTACCAACCTTCAGCCTGAACTAGAGACCATTGCCCATCCACCATCTGCACTGCCTACCAACCATCAACCTGAACTAGAGACCATTGCCCATCCACCATCTGCACTGCCTACCAACCATCAACCTGAACTAGAGAATGTTACCCATCCACCATCTGCACTACTTACCAACCATCAACCTGAACTAGAGACCATTGCCCATACACCATCTGCACTGCCTACCAACCATCAGCCAAGACTAGAGAACGCAACCCATCCACTATCTGCACAGACCTATATGAACTACCATCAGCCTAGACTAGAGAACATTACCCATACATGTCTTTATGTGAGCTTCACTGCCTACCAACCATCAACCCGAATTAGAAAAAAACATTACACCTTCACCAGCTCCATGAACCTGCCCTGTCTACCAACCATCAGCGTAGACTAGAGAATGTTACCCATCTACCCAGGCCTGCCCTGCCTACCAACCATTAGTCTGGACTAGAGAATGTTACCCATCCACCATGTCCACAGAACTGCCTACCAACCTTTAGCCTGGACTATAGAATATTATCCATCCATCGTCTCCACAGAACTGCACTGCCTACCCTCCATCAACCTGGACTAGAGACCATTACCCATCCACCATCTTCTCAGACCTGCACTGCCTTCCATCCATGAGTCTGGACTAGAAAACATTACCCATCCACCGTCTCCATGGACCTGCACCGGCTACCCTCCATAAGCCAGGATTAAAGACCATTACCCATCCACCATCTTCTCAGACCTGCACTGCCTTCCATCCATGAGTCTGGACTAGAAAACATTACCCATCCACCGTCTCCATGGACCTGCACCGCCTACCAACTATCAGCCTGATACTCATTCCAGATCCAATGTTAGTGGAATTTTAGGTAACCGCCCACATCACGTGTACGATGGGAGAACTTTCTACAGACACGGGGTTAGCAGAACACAATGGACAGTACAGGATAAGAGGAATGTACAATGATGACTTAGCATTGTACAGGACCACATACAACACGCCCTCTCTTCTATATACATCAGTATATAACGTTAGCATGATGGAACCGGACACGGTAACGTAGACACGTAGATGCGACATGGGCCACACGTGACACACAGAAACGCACTCACCTGGTTTGGGAACCGAGTTGGTCATTGACTGGGGAACTTTATCATTAATCAATTCCACACATTCGCTGGGAAAAAAGCCGACCTGTGGAAGACATCAACACATCATGTATGACGCAGACTGTCCTCCGTGTAAGGGGCGGAGCTGAACTATCATCCTGTGTCAGTGCGTGTTCTGATCATCTTTCCTGTAGATTGATCTAATATTGATATATTCTGCAGTGCTTTCCAGAGGGTGTAACACCGTTCATGTCAGTGTCTGTCCCAGGAGAGCTTACACTCTAACACCCCTAGCTACAATCACTGTTTAAAGGAGAACTCCGAGGTCAGGGCTTTCCCCCATAGTTCTCCTCCGGGTAACGGGAGGACACAAACTAGCGTCCTCCCATCACCCTAGGCTCAGTATATAGGGAGCTGCAGCTCGCGGTATACTGAGACGCCGCAGCTGAAGCCGATCCCGCCAATTATGTCTGGATCCGCCCAGCTGCGTGAGTGACAGCTGGCTCCGCCTATCTAGAGGCAGAGCCAGCTGTACC